ACGATGTGTGCCTCACAAAAAATACAAAAGTTTAAAGTACTTCGTAATCGCTCGTCTTGTAAGACCCTCGACGGCTTATCAAATGAGAGTTAACATGATGAACAAATATTTAAACACAGTTGTTTGGGTATTCCAGAATGAATGATCTTTATTGACTATTCCAGAACAAGTGATCAATTACGCACTTTTCAAGGCATTTTACGAAGGAACAGTAATGTACAATCTTTGATGACTAGTCGGTAAMTACAGTGGTACTTTAGTCATACTGCGACAATAGGGCTTAGTTCCACACAGAAAGATACTAAGACAACCTTTATAGTGAATCATAGTCAACCACAAGTGACAATGTAAAGTCTTAACGATAAATTCAGTCCTCCCCCCCTCCCCCAGGGGTGGTATTGATAGGTGCTAATCCTTATGTCGTTCTTGAAGTGTTTTAGTCAACAACAAACAATCCTTAGGATTTTATATGTGTATTACTTTAGTACTTCAATTAATTCGTCAACTAGCGTAATCAATATTCTTTATCAGTTTGTCTTCATCCACGGAAGTGTGTTTTCGAAAATGAATTAATTTCAAGCGCTTCTTTTTCAAATGAATCTTGATACTCAAGAGATATTTTTTGTTCAAGGTTAGAATAGATTAATGATTTTTAGTTACAATTGGATGGAGCTGTCTTGTTAACCGCATCTTACTATACTCTGTCATTTACTCTACTATTTTCGAGTGAAAATGTTTTTTAGCAAATTCAATWCCAAAGCCACAGGTCACCAATGGTGATTGAGTAGTTTTTTTTTGTGAACAATTAACATTGGACACTCTTATCCTGTAGATCTAATACAATACACAAATCAATCAAATATCTTACTATTGAATACTCGCAGCTTTGGGATTAGCTGGCTGCTTTTTTGTTGATTATCAATTAATTACCATGGTGACAGCTTTTCATAAACAGTTTTAGYCAAAAAARCATGCATTTTTGTTCTTTTCCCTGTTTTTCGTCGATATAACGAAAAGTTTTTTGACCAATAAGAGTACAATTATAATCTATGTTTTGATATCTCATTTTATCTCGTTTCGTGWTTGGGTTTGTGTTGTTGTCATTCAATGTTCTACAAGGACCACAATCCTTTGCGGTAAAACGAATGACKTCATATCCATATGAAAGAATGATAACCAAGAGGCCATCGTCTTGACCAAAAAAACATTAAATAGTTCAAAATTTCGTTTGATCATCAAAAAAAAAAGATTTTTTTCAATTATTACAACGTTTGAACAATTTCATGTCTCAAAGTGACAACGGTAGAACTCTAGTTTTTTCACTTTACTTCAAAGGTTTTCAGCGGTTAATGTTTGATAATGGGAGCTATTCAAGCAGATATAGAACCCGTGAACCGTTACCGTAATTTGTTCACAGAACGTGACTTATATGGACAAACGTATTCAAATCTAGCCAGACATCTACAGAAATACCTACTGCACAATAGATGATAACTACGCCATTGTGAGGTCTCACTGATTATGTCTTTCATTTTTTCCCCTTAAAATAACACTTTGACTTCAATCACTTATTCATAAAAACACCACYAATGCTTGTAACATAATTATTTAATAATGAACCTCTTCATATCGTAACATTGCATTATAAGTGTTCTCTGACGTCACAATGACGTCATWTCGTGCTCGTTTATCAATCACATGGAACGGTATAACTGTTGTTTATTTAGATAAATTAAGAAAGTGATCCAAAAATGGCATACTATGACATACTGTGTTGTTTAGCTTTTCAAACATATGAAGACTATAGTAGGCTCTCGTTGGTATATTTTAAGAAATATATCGAATTTTTGCAGGACAAAAATGATATAGATATATTGTCTGTAAATATTTTCTTTCATTTATTCCAAGGTATTTATAAAATATCGTATGTTTTACAAACGACATGTACAGTTTTCTAGCGGTAATAGCTGTCAAACGCGGTATCTAGTTTGCTATGACAACCACTATCAAGTTGGCGTCGATTTTCCTGAATCGATATTTTTGCGAAGCTTTTTGACATTTTCAATTTTTATCAGTCGGCTCTTGTAAAGCAGATTTAAGCCATTAATGTATGGTTTGTCTTCCACTTAGCATTGTTAATGTTTTATTTGCTGTCACTGTTAAGCTCCACCTGCTATTGACACGTCATATACCATGAAATATTGAGTTTTACTTTATTCTTTTAGTTTGAAATATCCCTTGCTTTTTTACTTTACATTTACATTTGACTTAAGTTCATTTGTTACTGTTTTTGTTTCCCTTTGTTTTCTTAGAATAAATATTTGTTCACTTGTCGACTTTCCCCTTCATATGAATKATCGTGTTTAAGGAAATTTCAAAGTCAATCACGATTTGTCGATCAGGGAGTTTGAAGTCAATGCTTGGGTCTTGGGTTTCCTACCCTCCATTCCAGTAAATATTTGATGAATATATCTGATCATTGGCTCTTTCTTATAAATAGCATTAGTAAGCTATATATGTGTTTTATGTGGTTAACCCTCGTGCCCTACCATTTGTTAACGTTCTCTGTCCGCGTGCCGACATCGGTCGAACTCGTTTGTTAACTGATGTTTCGTTATCGACCGATTCGTGCATCGTGAGACGAGTTGGAGGTCTTGGAGTAGTTTTACTGTTGATAGGATCTAGTGGAGGTAGACTCCGTTTGCTTATTGAATCCCCATTTGACAGTGATCGCTGTCGAGAGMCTGTTTCCCAAGAGACGTGCGATAGCATTGTTTCTTGTGTCGAGGGAGGGCTGTACGATACTTCAGAGCTCGCCGTGCCATAACTAGAATCGTCAAAAAAGTCACTGTCGTCTTCGATCTGTGATGCCGAGCGCTCAAGTCGTTTTTGTGTTCGATAGTCAGCTCCTGATAGCGACATCTTTCTTGTTTGGTCTTGAACCAATTGCAAGATCTCATCGACAGATTGTTGTTCTTTGTACGATATTTTCCTGGCTGGTCGTGGGTTGGAAGGCATTGTTGTCGTGTTCATTATGATTATTGTTCTCTTCGTTTTACTTGTACCGCGCAGTAAATTCGCCGTTCATTTCATGCTACAAGATAGACAACATKGACAACATAAGCCATTTGTTCCGTGATTTCGTGTGTTCTGCTCGAGTGAAAGTTGGYTGATAGTGCTAATTTTATGTTTTGTCTTTAACAGTGAGTCTTTCCCCGAGTCATTGGGCAGCATGTGGTGCATTGTTGCCTCTAGAGGGTTCCACCCTGCTTATGTTTTGTTTTCAAAGTGTTATGGCAACACACCCTACGGCAATTCTCGACTGTTTTTCTTATTTCCTCTTCATTCAAATCGTGTAAGGGAGATCCGGGGAAGTTGGATTCATTAATCAAATCAAGAGGCCGTAATTCGAAGTTTTTATGGTTAATCCAACCGGTTTTAGTGATCAACTTGAGCGTCCATCAATCCTTTAAAAGGATATTAAAAATATGAATAAATAATTCTTGTCTCAAAAACATCCAATCACGATTCAGCCTAGAAAACGAGCAGTATTTCTAAGAACTCATACATATGTTAATTGTTACACTAAACTAGTTGTAACTGKGCTGTTTACTCGCGTCCTGTCGCGTGACTCAAAATAACACATACTTGCTTCCGGGATAGTTGTATTTGTTGTTATATTGGCTCGTAAAGCAGTCAACAGGCACCTGAATACGTTCTCTTAGTACATACATTAACATGAACGAGGTAGTACAACGTTTTTTTTTTACATCACTGTGCCGTCTGTCTGTTTCTCCGCAAAGTTTGTCTGTAATTTCATGATTTTCTTTTCTTTTCATGCGGTGAAAAATATTCTAAATAAATAATTATTGATTCCCGCTGAGTCGTRCGCCACTACGCCGCGAAACGATAGAAATATCAACTTGTTGAAACCAACGGAGACCACGATACGGCAGTAAAAGACTGTCAACAAATTAAAAACGATAAGAAAAGACGACTAGAAAAAATGAAAATTAGAAGTGAGTCAAGAGACAAAATAAAACTTTATGCAGATTACTTTGTCTAGAAAGAAATATTACTAGAATCCGAAAGTAGAAAGAATGAGGAGTCAGGAGAATTAGTCTAAAGGTAGCGTTTCACCAAACGTAATTTTCAATTCTGTTTGGATTTTCTGTCGACATTTGTAACTAGTTTACATTAATATCAGGATTGTTGTATGTTATACTTGTCAATAACATAGTGTTGTTATTATTGTAMATTTATCGTGATGATTTCCTAAATCTTGCTCACTTTTAGTTTTATCTTTCTGTATACAACATGAATATGGTTCACGGCTCTTAAAGTAATTAAAACCTGAGATTAGAAACACTGTTTGAACTCACGCAACGAATCAGCAGCAAGCGAAACAAAACACGATCATAAAGTCAACGAACMACGAGCCGTTTTTCTAGATATCATTTCATATTGACTTCAGCACATGTGATATTCGATACTTAAAACAGGTATAGAGTGTTACGAAGCGAATGACTTGAGCCTGATTTTCACTTAAAAACTACTGTACGATTTGTGATCGAGGTTGAAAATGATCTTTCATATGAAAAGGACGCTGTTTTGTTTTAAAAAAGAAAGTTGTTTTTAAGCAGTTAAACAAAAAAATCAAGAAATAGTCGAACACTAGAGAATAAAGACATCAGGTAATCATTTTTCAGGGTACGYTATTAAACAGGTGGAATGTTTGCTAAGCTTATTTGATGAATGTACAATTTATATATCATTTTCTTTACTTACCAAGTTATTGTCAGTGTTTCTYGCTTGTTAACTTGTTTGCTCTGGTATAGTTCCGTCAGTAAACAAGTGTTGACTAAGCTGTACAATTAGAATAATAAATACTCAAATAAGAGCGTGTAATTTAAGGGTCAAATGAAGCCCCGTTGTGGCGACGCAATTGTTTGCTTGATCAAAACAAGCCAATAACGGCCAAAAAGCTGAGTTCTAGATATGTTAATATGTAATCTACTGTGGTAAGCATTGGTTAATTCAAACTGCATGGTGAGAAATTAAAAACTAGAAATCAAATAAAAACAACCTAGGTGATCGCCGACATGTAAAATACGTTAGTAATACTCACTAAGCCACGATAACTCCGTCAAGTCACGTCAGGAAAAAAAAAAGATTCAAGACTGTTTTACGTGGTAAGAAAGATTCTCATCACTCTCAATAAATCAACCGTTTGTTTTGATTTCCATGGTAACTAAGATAGGCTTATCAGTAATGATTACCAAATGCACGATTTTAAAGWTGGGTTTAGTTCCGTTTCATTCAAAATTTTCCTCGATAGAAACTAAGATACACGAGAACTAGGTTCTTTTCAGCTTTAAACGTCCATCTTGACATTTTAATGCACTAATTGCGTAAAATACTGACCGTATTACGTAAATCAAGACAGYACAACAAAAGGTTGCCGTTATATAGAGATATCATACTTATATCACTTTCTAATTATCTTTTCCTTTCTCTTTCTCTCCCTTTTCCAACTTTTTTTCTTTTCTCGTTTTTCTCTCCTTTTTACTTTTTCACGGCCGATCATATAGCGTTTCTCAAAAGTTATGTCGTCTTCAAGTTGTTGTTCCCATAATTTTTTCTTACACTTTCACTTCTATTTGACTCTCCAAGAAAATCAATGTCTGACATTACGACAATTGTACTAATCGTACTGGTCGGTTTCCGAAGGGCTCTTCCTCTCAATATGAGAAATGTACTGGTCGATGTATGTGAGCAATGTACTGGTCGATGTATGTGAGCAATGTACTGGTCGATGTATGTGACCAATGTACTGGTCGATGTATGTGACCAATGTACTGGTCGATGTATGTGACCAATGTACTGGTCGATGTATGTGTGATATTTGCTTTCTAATGGCCTTCGGTTTGGTCGATGTACGTAAGAAGGTAGGATGACCTATATTACGATCGTTCGACTAATAAGAGTTTGTCGGAACGATTTAAACACACCTGCTCTACCGCTATATTGCCACCGCGGTGTTAGGAAGCCCTAGAGACATGATAACAAGATCAAGCTGACTATAGCGAAGGATAAAATCTCTTTAAAATAATGGTCTGCTGCTAGAATTCATTACAATTATTCCATGTTATGAAAGAAAGAATATATAGAGCAATACATCTATCCTATTGATAATAAATGTGCCGTAGCGTGCGGGCGGCATTCAAGAAACGAGAAGAAACCTGTAGAGAAACCTCAACATTTTCAACTTCTATTTAATTATCACTTTGACAAAAGTAAAAAAAAATCACTAAAAACAAAGAAGCTACTCCACGTTTTTATGTCCATCAAATTCAATGCAAATGCGTTTAAGTTGCACGTTGCATATCTCGTACCCAGATCTCAGTTAAGCGCAAACGACCGAGTTGATCTGGGCCCRAGAATGTACTTAAACTGTGCAGATCTAAGAGAAAAATCTAGGAGGAATTCCAGTTTACAAAGAGAGCAAGCGTTCTTGCATCTACTCTCGTTTATTACGCATTACACAATGAAAGAAAAAAGTGGAATCAATATTACACAAGATCTCTCTTCGTTGAATATGAACGAGACAGTTTTAGGAGCTGGATATCTAATCTAGATGCATGCATCGTCTGGTGCTCAGCTGTTCGTCGTTTTATCACGATCACTCGCGCTCATCATCTGCTACTTGCAGTTCTCAGTTATTCATATTTTTCTAATTTCTATTTTCGGATACTAGTTCTGCTATTGGATTTTCTTCCAGTGTCATTCCTGTGCGTTGCACGCCGCATTTTACATGTGCTGAGATCCATGCGAAGAAGCTGATGAGCAAGAATAAGTTTGAAGTAATTTGCATTGAATTCTGCACAYGTGAGATACGGCTGAACGGAGCAGACGTTACGTATTTTATTCATATCTTCTCATTCGACTTTCCGGTTTTCTTTCATTTTTCCTTTCTCTTTCTTTTTCTCTTTTGTTTATTTCGTTCATAACTTCCAACGTTTGTTAATTCTATTATTTTCTCTTTTTATTTTTATAAATCTATTTTGAACGTTTTTGTTTTCTTCACATGCTTCCCCCCTYTGCAAGCTTTCCTATTTCATCTTTTCCTCTTTCCCGTTTAGTTTTTTTTAAATTTTGTTCAATATTATAATATTTTTTCACTTATGATATTATGAGAATACTAAATATTTTGTTATCACACAAAAGTGACCATTWTCAAGGTTTTTCGCCTGAGGTTGAACGATTTGGCGGAAGTCTAACACCGTCTCCCGCAATGAGGACGAGAATAGCACTTGGCATGTTTCATTAACAGTCTTGTAATGTCACAAAAAGAAACCACTACACGAATTACACACAATATTAYAGTATTTATCCTTTATAACAAGGTTCTGTTTCCATAAGTCAATAGGAAATGTTAAACTAACCACGCAATTCGCTTGGTTGCGTACGCTTGAAATTCGTACAGTTTCTTGTACTGTAAATATAGGTTAAAGTGTGCTTAGCTTTCCTTGTTCTCTCAAGGGCTTTCTAGATGTTGTGTTTAGCATTTTCGTTTCGAATAAATTTGGTTTTATAGACCTGTCATTATCTAACATCATCTAACAGGCAGTTAGGGTTGTTGTATTGACGTTGTTCTCTTATTGTCAAGGTATTGTAGGTAAACCTTGTAATTCCTTATTTCTATAGTCATGAAGTCTTCATATTTGTTTCATCTACCTGCTGTCGTATTTAAACACAGKTTGTTTTGTAAACTATTTTCCGTTGTTCTCTTTTTGATAGCTAGGTTAATAAATAACACAGACTTTTTTTAAAATTTACCTTCGATGATTGTAACAATTGACGAGAATTCCTTGTCTCGCACGTCTGCGAAGCAACCTCGACACTCTCTGACAATGAAATGCGAAGTCTTGACTTTTATCCAAATACGTTACCCATTAGCTGCTCATTTGTGATCCAATAACCATGGAAACAAAATATATAAGCGATTACATATATCCTGAATTTGTCTGGTTCCTTGCGAAACCCAAGATCTTTTAGTACAGGTGTTGCGAATTTCGTAATAAGTGTTTTCGTCTTAATCCCATATATCAAACTTATATAGTGTATCTGTAATAGATAGTGACAGGATTTATGATAATTATTTTGCCAAATGAGAAATAAAAAGAGAAAAAATGAACTGAATAATCCTAATGAAAGAAAAATGAAAAGTGAAATGTAATGAGAATTGATGAAAGGGGAAAAAAGGATGAAATAGGATGAAATAGGAAGAAAAAGCTAATGTTCAACATGATATGTTGGATGAAAGATGAGTAAGCACTAACATGGAGCACTTTGCTAATAGTAGTAGTAAGTTTGTCTTGGGTTGAAGAGCGAGTTATACCAACCTTTTTCCGGCCTTGAGCTACAATAAAATTAAATAATCTATAGTTGAACAAGGAAGTTATTGGTCAGACTTATTGATGTCAAAAAACACCTTACATCCACTTATTCCGCTATTATCCAGCATCGTGACTTTCTTTATTATATCGTGTTACGTACTGAGCCCTCACGATGTGAGATATCTTAGTTTTCAATCTTTTCGCCTCTCATATCTTTTTCTGTTCACATCTTGGCCGCGGCTGTCAATGAATTTGAGGACTTTTATCTGCCGGCACTAAAAAATTACACAAATGAGCGAGTATTTTTAGCCTTACCTTCAGTCTTCCTTCTTATTCAATGTTATTGTTTTCACTATATTATTTATTTCTGCTTTGAAATTAGTTTCTAACTTTTTTTCATCGAGTTTTTTTCAAAGAATGGAAAAGATTGTAAACTTTTCAAGAGCAAGGCTGTGCCGTCGAATTAAACGGCTTAGTGTCTTTCTTTTCTGTTTTTTGGTCTTTTCAGTTCTTCCTAGATGTTTTATTTTTCGTTCTAATTTCTTTCTTTCACAAATGCAAGGTTATAAATAAATTTTGTTTACAACTAGAATTCTTTACTAAAAATAATTTGATCTTAATGAAAATCCCGTAATAATCATATACATACGACAAGATGAATAGAATTAATGAATGATCGGAGTATTATATTTTCATTCAAAATTAGACAATGCCCTTATCGAAACGCGGCTCTTTTTTCAGAAATCCTTGATATATTGTAGCTCGGTTTAAATATATGAAAATAAGAAAGGGTCAATAACATTATGTAATGAAAAATGGATCCTATTGCAAATGTTGTTTAAATATTGATTCTTACTTACACAAACTACAAATGAACGCTACTTACTGAACAACTTACGAACATTATTGGACTTTAGGTATTATATTGTATTATTAAATTTCTTGAAAAATATAACTGAAACTATAGACAGATGGGACCAATCAGACTATAGTTCTTGACGTAATGGCTAAAAACGAGCAATTCTAAGGACATCATCATTGCTCTCTAGTTTTAATGTGTTCAAATCTTTCTTGGTCAATTATAATACCATTTTGAATAGTGTTTTCTTTTCCATTTGTATATGAAAATAGACGTGAGCAATGCAATAAAGTAGTCACATGGATATTGCTCGATATAGCGATGCACCTGTTTAACATTGTGCCATTAGACTTAAACTCATGCTGTTGATCACTAAAGCAACTTAATAAAGAAATAACGATTAAACAGAGCTGAAAGACTTAATTTACTTTTAGTTTTAATCAAAAAAATCTCATTGTAAACCACCATATCCATCGCCATATGTAAGTGCACGAGTCGACACATGACATAGGTACCGCTGTACGTCGTAATAGCAGTAGAGACCATGTCACAGTGCGATCGACCTTGGCTCTTTATTATTTATGAGCAAATTCAGTTATAAGTCACTATGTCGGCACTTTTGAATTTGCCTTATTAATTAATGTTTTATATTAGGAAAAACTTATTGAAGAGACAGCTTGTTTATGTAAATTTATAAAAATATTCAAATAATATAACCTAATATACCTAATACCTTGGAAATATACGGTGGTTTTCTTTATCAATGATTATTAATGTATATTATTAGATTGCTGAAACCACAAACTCCTCCGTGCAAAGGCTGCCAGCCTTCAATTAACTGATCACAGCGATAGATGTGTGCTTCTAATAATTGCATTATGCAATATCCTCACCATTCCTTATAACACGTAATGCATCCTGGTTGTCATTTTGACGGGGTTCCTGTGTCGTTTCATTAAACAAGTCAAACCTGTTCACAGTCATTCAGTCCATTATCGGAATTCCAAGGAACAAAAGACATCGGATGTGTTTTATAAAAGTCGTAATCCTTAAGATTGTTAGTAATTGGTACATGTGTCTTGTAGAACAATCCTCCATTATAGATAGCCATGCCTTTTTATTGGTTCTTTGTACTACCATCCAATGAGAAATCACAGCTAATCCGTCCTTAATAGACAGTACTAATCTGTACTTGTTTCTACAGTTCTAAAAAATACAATCTTAAACAACAAACTCGTAATTTTACTGTCATTGAAAAAGGCTCAGTAGCCTTGTTTACTGTATTGGCTTGCTTTGTATCAGGAATCAAACTTCCCGTGGCCTGCTTTAACTAGTGGCTCATTACATTATGCTTTGACAAATGGATGAAGCTTCTTTATTCAAACAAGTTCACAGCACAGATGAAAGTGTGGAGGAAATACTACAACTAGTACGAAACCAAGAGAAAGACGTTAACGAAAACATCATGTATGAAAACATTGTTCTCAAGAAAGCTTTCCTTAAACCTTTAGATGTACCTTTACCATCAATTCCCTCCAACAGCGCTTACATGTGTAAGAAATCAAGTAGCTGTCCTGAGACGGCGTCCTCTTGGCCTAAAACTAGAAGACGTACTGCAGATAGCGAGTTATTTATGGACACTGCTTCTCACGAAAACTTTCTCTTCGACAAAAATCTTGAACGACGAAGGCGAACAATGTCGCTACCTCCTTTAAGCTGTGACAACTCGTGTAATCGATATCAGAGACCGAAATGTCCAACTCCTTCAAAAACAGAGAAAAGTTGATTGGTGTACAGCGGTTGAATTGTCCCACTCTAATGTCCAGCGCAACACCTTCGTCAAGAGGAGGAAGCCGGGTGTTCTTGAAAGGGTGTCTACCTCATTCTTGTAAGACGATTGGTATATCCTACCCGGTCCAGGAGTCTTTCAAAACCTCAAAAAAGGGATTTATCCATGATATGGATATTGGCTATTCCAGCCACACACCTATACATAATATATAGAAAAGGAAGGCTGT